AAAAATGTCATAGAGAAATAAACGTTCCTGGTTTTGTAGAAGAATACACAATCGAGTGATGTTTGTGGTGGCTATGGCTAAAGGCCCGTGAAAGATGCAAGGGGGCAGATGGACTCTGTGCAGGGTCCGAAGGCCAGAAAGGAGGGTGGACCAAGGGTGGAAGCTGATGGGGACTGACCGGGACACAAAGGGGCATCATGAGTCGCGCTACGGGACACCGAGCCAGTGATGGGTGAAAGTGCGCAGAAATACGAGGACGCAGGAACACAGATGTTCTACTTTGGTTTTCTTCCCTAGTTTCTGTACTTGTGCTCATCCGTTTTAATCCCTGACCGTCTCCTGGCTTGTCCTCCACTCTTACCTTCCGCCTCTACCTCCTCGGTGGGAGACGCCGCCGTCTCTCGCTGCGTCAGTCCCAGCAGCCTCCCCAGTTCCTCTGTAGCCGCTTTCCAGCCCAGCTTTAACTTCACTGCCGGAGCATATTTTAAGTAACACCCATCTGATGATGCTCCTTGGCTCTCTGAACGGGGTTTCACTGCTCTTGGTATCAAGATGAAATCACCAGCATGGTCTTCATGACGTAGCAATCACCTGTTTCCCTATCATCCTCTTGTCCCTCTTTGCCTCTTATTTACTGAAACACAGCATTGTCCCCTCCACTACAGAGACCTCTGTAAATAATATTCCTTCCACTTGCGAAGTCCCTCTCTTCCCTTTTCTAATCTCTGTCCCTATTGGGTCTCCTGTGGATTTGAGTAACTCCTTGTGGAACCTTCAGACCTCGGCTCAGATGGTGCGTCTCAGAAATGCTTTCTCTACCCCTTGTCACCTGAGAAGACATCGGCCTTTCATAGCATTCTTACTTTCATTCAAACAGCTTGCCAGTCCCCAGTGATATATTTACGCAATTACTTGATTCAGTTGTCTTCTCTGGGTTATAAGCTCTTGGTTGTTCTCCTTGTCACTTTATTACAGGCACCTCATAGAGACACACACATGGTGGACTGCACTCAGGTGATACTGTTGATGCAATTAAGCCAATACAGACAGTTGGTCCTTTTTTTTATTATTTCTTTATTTTGCTGAAATTAGTGAAGACATTTTCTGTGCCCCTTAAAACACTGGGCTCACCATGGTTGTGTTAGAACAACCATAAAGAAAGGGTACAGGGAGTACACGGGCTGGAGTTACTGTGAGGGCAGGGACCCCTCTGTCCTAAAAGCACAGCATGAAATGAGCCATATGGCCCAGGGGGCAGCTCAGTGGTGCACACTTGCCTGGCATGTGAAGGCTCTAAGATTACTCCCTGCACTGCGAAACAAAAAAAAAAGCAACAAATGGGGCAGAACATGGAGGTAGACTCATGGCCAGGAAGAAACCTTCAGCTCTATAACAGAAGGCTTCGCTAGGTTGGTTTTTTGGTTTTTGTTTTGTTTTGTTTAGTTTTGTTTTAGTATTTCTTTAAAGTTACTTTTAATCCACACATAAAAACATAAAACTTGTACCTATTAATGGTGTACCTACTGTGGAATGTTTAAGATTTCTTTATTAAATTTATTTTTAACTGATGTGTAAAAATATTAAAAATTATAGCTGTTAATGGGGTACCTACCATGTGGGGTTTTTTTTTACACATATCGATCTCTTTGATCATCTATTATTTCTTTACCATGAAACATTCAGAATCCTTTCTTCTAGCTTCCGAGATTTACGGACGATTGTTACGTGTAACCACCCTGGCTGTCATCAACCACAGCTAGCCAATAGCAAGTCCTTCTCACACCCATGAAGCTGTCACTCAACACCCATTGGTCAGTCTTTCCCATCTTTCTATCCCTGCCCCTCTCCTCCTTCTACTATCAACTTAGATGAAATCAGCATTTCAATCTGGTTTTATTCCTTACTGTCAAAGGGTTTTCTTAGAAAAATCTCTGCATCACCCTTTATGTGCTTTTTCCTCCTAAGTATAATTTTTTAAAAAAATTGTTTCATGTTCTTTAAAGACTGCCCTAAATAAATATCTTGGGTTTTTTAAACTATGTGGGGTTGCACCTGTATTTTCTAGGATTCCTTTTAACTTGTTTTTGTCATTCTCTCATTGTCACACTTCAAGTTTATTCTTAAGGCACCACCAATTAAAACAACAGAGCTTACTGGACAATCTGTTAGCTTTGTGATTTAGCTACAGGAAATGAACGTGTAGGTTTCCTGGCTTTGTTTGATTCGACTGCTCAGTAGATGGGCACCCATTGCCAATACAGAAACTCAGGGGGGGTTCCAGTGTCTCCCTGATATTGAACTTTTTTTTTTTTTTAGACCAAACAATCTGGAGTGTGTGTTCTTATGTCTTAATAAACCACAGGTATTTTCTCACTTTAAGGCCTCAGTACCTTTGTGTGTCCTGCTAGACGCAAGCTAAACTCTACGCTGTGGAATCAGGACCCTTTGGTCTGGCCCCAGCCTGGGCTCCTGACTTCACTCTCTTTTCTTTTGGCCCCTCTCAGATTCCCCCACCCCTCCAGTCTTGGAATCTATAAATTAATTATTAATCCCCCAAATACTTGGAGGTACTTCTAACATACGGGTTTAGCTTTTACTGAGATCAGAGCATATGTGACTTCATTGGTATGGGAGTTTATTTCTCTCTCATGTTACCCTCCAAAGGGAACCATCTTGGGCTGACACAGCTGTTCCCTTTGGGCTGTCCTGTCTCACCTTTTACTATATTCTCCTGCCTGGGTGACCAGCTGTTTTATCTTTCTAAGCACCTGTTCCATCCTTCAACAGTACATGTACTTTCAGTCCAGCAAGAAAGGGGAAAAAGGGAAGGGAAGGCGTGTTCTGGTCCGTTTAAGGGCATGACTAGGGAGTTAGCGCCTGTCATTTCTGCTTCTGTCCCATTGGCCAGAAGCTAGTCACATGGCCATCTAAGCTGCAAGGGAGGCCGGGACACTTGTCTTAGTTCAACAGCCATACTTCTATTTCTGTTCCTGTAAATGAAATGATGAATGGATAATGAGGGTACAAGTATAAATCTTTGTCATGCACAATGCTGTGTATTGTGCTAAGTGCTAGGGATTCATGATAAATAAGCACTACCTTTGGGGGAGAGAGCTCAATTTACTTTGGAGCATATTCCTGTTGTCTGACCATGCCATAAAGAGTTAATCTATACTCATTCTTCTTGTATATTCTATGCAAGTATAGTTTATTCCATACACACTGTGAGTGGTCTTCTGAGCTTTTGCATTTACTGACCCATTGCTGGGACTCTCTCCCCCTGGATTCCACTGGATGCAATTCTGTCCATCCCACATAAGCTAGCTCAAAAGTCCCTACCCATGCACCTCCCCTGGTGTTCCCATCACACCCAAGTACTTCTCTTTCCTCAGTTGTGTTGCAAGGGCCTACAGCCATATATAGATTCGCGTATTATCCAATTCATATCCTGTGCACCTTGGCACCATGCTGAGCAAATAGAAGGTGATCAATAAGTGTTTACCAGATCCAGTGAGCTCGTGCTTGGCTTGCATTCATGAATTCTTGAATGACAAGGTGGGTGGAATCTCTAATAATCTGGGGAATCTCTCTCTCATATTGTGTTTAAAAATATCACAGGGGCAAAGAGTTAAGTGAATTCCAAGTCAAATCCAGAATCAAAGAAGAGATAAGTCATCTCCCCCGTGTTTTCATCTTATTCTAATTTTGGGTTAATTTTTATTCTTTATTTCTACTCAGTGGTTCTCTTAAATGTGTAGTGAAAGGACTGTAAGAAAAATATATAAATTTGAATTATATATTTTCTTATACAGTGGTATCTTGGTTCATGAACTGCATTTGTTCCGTGATTGTGAAAAAAAAAATGGCCACATTTGTGTTTGCATGGAGATGATGGCTACAGTTGTGTTTGTGACTGGATGTAGAATTTGCAAACAAAAAATTTTGCAGAAAGCATCTGAAAACCGAGGTACCACTGAATGGCTATTACTTTGAAAAATAAAATTGAAATCCTACCTACAAGGAATATATACATTGTAGGTTTTGTATATGTCTTGTCTATCCCACAAAATGTTAACTTTTCCTTCAGGACTTCATTTAAAAGTTAGTCTGTCATATATTTTACCTTAGGTTTCTCACTTAATCACAAAGGTATTCTTCTTTTCTTCCTGTAGTCTTCTATTTCCCCTTTGGACCTACAAAACATAGTCTATTAGTATGTGACAGAGTGAAGGAATTGTCGTAAACTAAGTAATATAAAGTATAGGATATTAGTTGTTGCTCAGAATATTACTGACAGACGAAGCAAACATTTAGGACCTCACTTACTTTATTGGTCAAATAAGAGTGAATTAAGGTGAGAAATGTTTTTCTGCCCTAAACAGTCCCTGAGGCTACTACTACTAATAACACGGAGTTGCTAGTTTAAATAGTAGGTTTTTAAGAAAATGTTGGCAAAGCGTTGAGAATGAGCAGACTCTCATTTCTGTGGGTCTCAAGTGTGTACTGCTGTTTCTGCGGCCTGCAGGAATTAATTTGCCTTCCCAAGTAGCAGCCGTGGATGAGTTAGGCAAGGGGCAAACGTGGACCGATGTTCTCCCTGAAAGGTTCCGTGAATCATCGCGTAGTAGAATGGTTGATATCATCTGAATTAATAGCCGAATCCCCAGTGCCTCCCTGATTCATCTGTGTAGGCGTGACACCGACAGAGCCTTTAAGGAAGGGGCCAGGATCCGTTTGGCCTCTGAGTAGTGTGTCTTTAGGGGATGGCTGCAGGGAAGGTTCATCTTGAACACAGACTTGCAGGCTCTGGAGTGCGGAAGGTGGCTTTGTTTGGCTGATCGCATGTGAATCGTCAGTGATGTACCCCAGTTAATTAAGCAGGTCTGACTCTGATCAAATTTGCTTGCCAGAGTTATGTTTATTTAACATGTTTCGGTGTAGAAAATTAATATTAGACAGCGAGTGCACACCACACACACACGCACACACACACACACGACCTGTACACCTGCAGTGAGTCTGGAGGCCCCTTTGATGATGCTTCTTAAAATTCACGTGAAATGCATACTGCAGGACAAAGCCAGCCTCTGACAGTTCGGAGGGTCGACTGGAAATCCACAGTGAATTAAAGCCTCGACTCAGTCATTTTTTCAGGGGGCGGGGAGGAGGGAGCGATAGCAAATCAGACATTCCCACAGTGTTTCGGAGGTAGCAACAGTGAAACCCAGGATGCTGTTGCCAGCCTGTGCATTGTGAGGAAGGCAATAATAGGCGAGCAGCAGTCTGAGCCGTGTGTTCTCAGAAGCAGTCAACAGCAGCAGGGCTGGGCTGCCTCTCCTCCGAAGCTCAATACTGCAGGGTCTGGAGATGAGAGACTCTCTGACGTTTGAAAACCTCCCAACTTGAGCATGGCTCCTGCACAAGCGTTGCTAAGAAACTCGGAGGATGTGGCCAGCCATAACTATGTGTTAGCAAGAGTTACTTCCGAAAAAGAAAAGGTACTTTTGGGACATTTTTGCCAATAGGCAACCCCCACCCTGCAGAAGAAGAAGATCTCAGATTACCTGGGGGGTAGGGGGGTGGAGCACACGGAGAACAAAGTTTGGGGTGCCTGCTGCCGAGGAGGAGAAGGAGGAAGCGGAAGCTAAGTGTTGCTCAGCCCGTGCTGCTTACCTGGGAGCTGAAGGTGGTCGCAATGGGCAGTGGCCGTGCGGAGGACACGGGGCAGCTTGGAGGAGCCGCGCGCTGACTGCGTCCTGCCCCCTCTTCATGCAGTGCTGCGGGCTGGGACATCGCCGGCGAGCACGGGTGTCCTATGTAAGTTTCTGCCGCTGCTCAGTTGTGGCTGGGAGCTGGAAATGCTATTCATGTCTGTCTGCTGCATGTTGCTTTTTTCCCATGTTTTCATCTCCGTGCTGGACCAATCAAATCCATCACGAGTTTTCTAGCCTCCTGAGGTCTATGAGATTCTGAGCTATTCTGGGGCATGTTTGGGCATCATGTTGTTTGGACTGTGTTACTTCAATCTGGTTGGAAATAACTTCCCCCGGCACTGGTTTGGGAGGTATATTGTCTGCGGTGACTGGGTCAGAGCAAACCAGTTGATATTCTTTTACCTAGAGTGGCTCATTTTGATATTTAAATTATGGCATGGGAAAAAAATTTTTTTTCTTGTAGAGCTGAATACTACGGAGTTTGTCAAATTAAAGATAATCGCAGAGGCTGATGTTAAATCCTGGTTTCGGACATCTTCAGAAAACTAGTAGATGGTAATCATTTGATGGATGACACAGCTTTTGCAGTAATGCCCGCATTTACAATAGCTTTAGCATCCTGTGACTGTTTCAGCAAAAGAGCCCTTTATTTCATGGACCTGCTGTGTTTTGCAAAATGGCTGTCTGAGTATTAAATTTTACCAGGCTGGCTGACACATACTGAAGCCTCACTCCTTCACATGATTAGATGCTAATTGAAATAACGCTGTGCAGTACGCCAGACGCTGGCTTTATTTTCATACTCCTTTAGTTTGGGGCCACTTTATGCTCAGAGTGACGTGCAAGTGAACAGGAGGTTTATGCAGGCTGGCCGGACTGCGGTGTTGAATTGCTGAACACTGATTCGAGATTCCTGGCTGCGACACAAACAGAAAATTGGCAAAGGAAACTAATCAATTCTGAAGGGTACAATGTAAAGGAACTCGTGACCTGGGGAAATTGGTCAGCAGAGGAGCTCTGTGGGTGATTTCCAGGACGCACGAGACCAAGGTCTGACACAATCTAAATAATAAAGTTGGAGACCAGGACTGGGAAGGTGGGGGAGAAATAATTAGATCAGATCTTAGAGGTGTCGTTTTTATTAAGCAATTAAAAGCCTTAAGGGTCTCCTTTAATATGAGGGGTTTCTCTGCATAGCTGTGATGTATTTGGTGTCATCTGTATTTGGAATGCAACAGTTGACAAGCACGAGTAAATGTAGCAGTGAGGGTGCCGGCCAAGGTTTTTAGAGACGACATTTACAGGGATATATAGGGACTCTTCCAATAGAAAAATGAATTGCTTTTTGAATAAGATTTAGAAATAAATGCTACAAAACTTTTTGGTGTTGAAATTATCCACATTAAAACATTAAATTAAAAATAGCTTGAAATGAAAATCCACATTTTATGGAAAAATGAAGACTGACAATTCTACAGATTTATGTTATTTCTGTTTATTCTTGTGTGGGGAATTAGGAGAAATCCACAACTATGTATACCTATTGTAGAAGGATTTCGGGAAATAAAGCTACAGGAAATCATTTATTCTCTTACTTTTTTCTTTTTGTAACTAAATAGAAAGGAGTAACAGCACAATCTGTATTTTTTGGAGTCGTGATTGAAAAGTACAGAGATTTATTTCATCTGCTGATTCTCAAAAATTTTGTACCCTATGTCTTTATGAAGGGGCCACAAAATGTAGACCACAAACATACTTTAAAGAAAAAAGCAATTCTACATTTCAATCCCTAGAAATAAATTGTCTTTTATTCTAGAATATCGTGTCTTAGGAACTGTCCCCAGTTACGTACCTGCTGCTGTCTTATCCTGTCTTCCTTTATTTTAATAACTGAATTTCAGCTTTCTTTGTAGATGACCAACTCAGAGTTATAGGTATGTGAAATCCAAAGCGCGTTTCATTTCTTTGGAGAGAAAGAGCCCACTGTGTACACATCCAGGAATGAGACCAAATTTACCTGCCAAGCTGAGGGAGTAGAGGTTGCCCCCAAGTAAGTGAGTGGGCAGCAGGACAGAGGGGTGGCCGGAGCCCCGTGTGAGGCTGAGGGACAGGGCCTTGTCACACTGGATGGACCGGCTCACTGTCTGTCCTTCCCTAAGTCCATTGTCAGTTTTGGGGATGAAGGCTCAGATTGTGCCTGTCCAACATCTATATAAAGTATACATTAAATATTAGATATAATTATATATAGGCATAGAACATGTCACATTAGAGATATAAATCAGATGACATACATGTGCAGTGGTACCTCAGGTCATGAGCTTGATTCTTTCCACGATTCTAGTCGCAAACTAGTCTAGAACCAAACCCAATTCAACGTTTGGTTCAAACCTTATGGGGAAGTAAGATTGGGTTCTCATCTGCTTTGGTTTGCTACCAGAGTCACGCAAAGAGTTTCATTCATGCACCAAGGTACCACTTACAGTGAAGCACTGCATGACTGCATTTCGGTCGGGGATGGACCACGTGTATAGTGGGGGCTCCATAGTGCCTGGGCGTGTAGCTGCCTTTGTTCATTTAAGTGCACTCAGTGATGTTTGCAGTGACAAAGTTGCCTGATGATAAATTTCTCAGAAAATTGTGTCCATGTGTGCGTGTGTGTGTGTGTGTGTGTGTGTGTGTGTCTCCATGCTCCACTATTCCCTTTACTGTTTTAAATAGGAAAGCTTTCTTCAAGATCCTTCCTACTGTAGCAATGTCTTTCAGAAAAAAAATTTTTTGAAAGTTCTGTGAGTTTCCAAAAAGTTATAGGCACATTCCTTAGTGCTTTATTTTCAAGTTTTTACCTGTTGGAGGTGTCCCGTTTGTTAGACTCTCTTTCCTTGCCTGTTGAATGTTGCCTTTGTGTTGCAAAACTATTCTGTGAGCAATGGGCTCTGCACAAAGGCTAGAGCTCTTTTCCTTCTCTCTCTGACTCCATATATAAGCCTCTCTTTTGGATGTTACTATATATTTTTGAGATCTAGTCTTCATGGTTTTGTTCACACTTAACAATCATTATTTTAGAACATAAAATAAGCTTTGTGGCTTAGCAATAATTGCTAGAGTGGTGGTAGAACTCAGTGGTAGAGCACTTGCCTGGCACACGTGAGGCCCTGGGTTCAGTCTGAGGGTGGGGGAATAAGGCAAAAACATTTTTTCTATGTTTACCTAAATTGTCTTGCTATTTTACTAAATGACATAGAAATGTATTGCCTGAATAAATTTTCTTAAATTTGAAATCCTATATAAATATGGAAAGCTCTGTGTGCATTTCTCTGAAACACTTGTGAGATACTGACATTTGCATACAGTTGCATACAGTTGCAGGCAGTGGATAACACTTCATGCAAAACCTTAATTGAAGGTCCACTGGCCCTGCAGGTCTGTGGGTTCCACATCTCTTGGTTCAACTAACTGCAAATTGGAAGTACTTGGTGAAAATTACATCGGTAGCGAATATGAACAGATTGTTTTCTTGTCCTTCCTTAAAAAAATGGTACGATAATTATTTACAAAGCACTGACTTTATATTCGGTATTAAGATATCTGGAGATGATTTTAAAGCAAATAGAAGGATGTGTGTAAGTTAGAGTTAGAAAAACATAATTAGAATATGAAGTGAGACTTGACCTGAGCGTGGTATTTATCATTTACTTCCAGTGGGGGAGTAGGGAGTTCTTTTCTCTTTTTGAGTCTATTATCCCTTATAATTGGGACAATGGTGAAACTTAGAAGGTTTATTTTGAGAGTTAAGATGAAATACTGCTGGTCCAGCACCTACTATTTCTGGAGACACAGTTGTTTTTCAAACCCTGGTGGCAACTGAAAAATGAAACTATGAGGCAGAGGAACAATAATAAGAAGGGAAGTAGGGATGCAAGGAAAGGAAATGGTAGATCCTTGCTTCATGCGGTTGCTGCCTGTGCTAGTTGCTCATTACCAGCCATTCTTAGAAAGCTTTGGTGAGTTAGACAGTGGAGAGAAAGCTAGTCCACATGTTACTAATCTCATATATGATCATACTTCCCTGTACGTGATAACTTTTGAACTTTTAGAACACTGAAATGCAGTAATATCTACAAATGCTACTTTTGTGCATATAGCATAACTTACACAATTCATAGCCTCATTAAATTCTGATGAGTATGATTGCCTTATGTATATTCATAGTCCATCACAGTTTACAGAATTGCTTATGCACACTGTTTTATTTGACATTAAAGCAACCTCTAAGCAAGTTATAGAGAGCAGTTGTGTTACCAAAAGCCGCAGAGTCTGACTCTAGTCAACCTGAGACTCATCCCAAAATGCATTCTTATTCAAGTAGAGTTTTGTTCATCTCTTTGCAATGCATTTATAAGTTTAAATAATTAGATTATATTTATATTTAATTAACATGAAAATTTTGTGGTGCTTCTGAGTGAAAAAATCAATTATCATTGTACTTGAGAGTGCTGAATTGCCAGTTAATGCAGACTTCTGGTTAGTAGAATTGTATGTTTTTGAATTATAATTTTTCACGTGTGGTTCATATTTTCCACCAATTATCATAATTCTTTAAAGTTTATATAATATATTTTAAATAATTAAGTAGTTGACATTTTCCAGAAATATCTCAAGATGTCCTTAAGGATAACTGAATTTTAACATTTGTGTCTTCAAAAGTCAAATTCTTAGTGGAGAGACTGCTGATTTTTCAGATATGGGACTGCCTGGGTTTTTAATAGCTTTTAACTTTGACCATATTAAAATCCTTCTTTTGATTCTTCAGAATTTTAACATAACATTAAGGAACTAATGTCTATCTGTGTGCCTATGCCTTTCTTTTCTTTTCTTTCTTATTTACCCTTATCTCTCTAGGAGTTGACAAGTCCTTAAGAACATAAATCCCAACTTCAGAGCAATGCATCTCAGCTTCAGATACACCCGACCTGAGTATGTTAGTGTTGTACAGTAGAAATACTACTTAATGATGAAAGTTTTTCAGACCTTAGAATTTTGCTTCCATTAGGAGTTTCCCTACATAATTGCGTTTTATTAGTGGAGAATGCGATAGATGAACCCATAAACAGGAAGGTGGAGAGCGAAGGAAAGGAAATTAAACCAGTGCCTGGCCATCTCCGGGCCCATGA